AAGAGAAAATAATGATTATACAATGTTCTGGAAAGATTTGCAAAAGACCACATTGATAAGCCACAAGGCTATTGGAAGAATGTTCTGTGGACAGATGAGACCAAAATAGAACTTTGGGGCTCGAATGAAAAATGTTATGTTTAGCAAAAGGCAAATATTGCATTCCAGCATAAGAACCTTTTCCCATCTGTGAAACATGTTGGAGTTGAATGGCCTAGCAGATTTGCTAAATAAAATAAAAAAAAGTGATCCCACTTCCTCCTCTTACCTCCTCTCCAATAATGTCCTGAGTATACAGCAGCAGATGGCTTCTTAGAGTAATTTTTGCAAGCTCCCTAATAACCACCCCAACTACAGCCCACTCAGTATAGTAAATTGCATCATTCTATTGTAATACGACTTAATTACAATTTGCTACAAATATTTACAAAGACCAAACATAAATATCAACATGCACACAACATTTAACTTTCAAATAGAAATGATTACTTGATTCTCTTCCAAACAAGGTAAGAAGGGAAAACATTACAACCTTTAAAAATATATTCTGATGGTCTGAAGGAAAAAGGTGAAAATTAAGGTTGCAAATTAAAGAAAGCAGCAAAAGTCTGGTATTATTCCTGATTGCTTGTTGTACATAACTGGAGATTTGTCAACTGAGTTCAAAAAGCTGAGGTGACATCTGAAGAGTATTTTACTATAAATAGCAAGGGTTAATTGTCAGGAAACAATATGCCCAGGCTGTATGCAGCTGCAACTCTCTTCCATGATGATAGAAGTTGCATAATTTTAATTTTTCTATAAACCTCTCTTTTTTCACCCAAATAATTTTCAGTAAACAACTAATATCCTCTAGCTAAGCATAATCTGTTTGAACTGTTTTCTGCCATTAGAAATTACTAATGCCATTTCTATTAGTTGTGTTAACTTTAATTCAAGAGATATGTAGGTGTTATCTTTTTTTGGATTGAGAGCCCTTTCAAAAATAATTTGTCATCTGGAATTATAGTACTTTTCAGAATATCAAAATATGTGGATTGTTCAACCGCTGTAAACTTTTGAAATAAATAACTGAATCTTGGTCTTGGCTAACCCTAACCCTATCCAAGCTGAGATTTGACAAAAGCCAGAGGAGATCTTGGGAAAACTAGGGAGCAGGTAAGAAAGGTATATATCTGAACTCAGACTGTAGACAAAGAGTCCCGTTGGGAGTCCCGTTGGGAGAAGGGCGGGATATAAATCAAAATAAATAAATAAATAAAAATAAGAGAGTAAGAAAGGAAGAACAAAAGATAATTTAAAGAAAATCATAGCAATCATGGTAACACTCCAAACTTGTTTCAATTTAATAAGGGACAATGGAAAGGATTTGATCACACTAAATTGTTAACGTGAACATGTATTTAGAAGGACAACATGAAAAACGTATACAAGGTATTAACCCAGATGAGATTGTATTTCAAGAATTTGGTGAACTTGAAGATGAAATCACATGGGCTACAAAAGAACTAGCATACAGGGACTCCCTGACTTATAACCATTTGTTCAGCAAAGTTGTAACAGTACTGAACAATGACCTACGGCCAAAGTAATTACTGTGGCGGCACCCCCCAAATTCATGTTATTGCAATCTGGGTGTTTAGCAACCTGTTCTCACTTACAACCAGTTGCCAAACACCCCACAATCACATGATCACCATTTGCAACTTTCCCCACTGGCTTCCCAGAAATAAAATCAGTGGGGAAGCTGGCAGGAGAGGTCACAAGCCACTCATGCACATATTGCACCCCTTCTTTCCTTTGCTTGCGCTGCACCCTCCTTGCCTCCTTCACTCACACTGCACCCTCCTTCCCTGCCTTTCTCTTTAGAATGTCTTCCGGAGACTCTCCGGGGGTGCTTTTAGTAACTTTGGAGCTCTGTTTGGAAGCTGCTGGCTGATTGTGAGGCTTTCTCGTTCCTCCCAGAGCTGCAACGAAGCACAAAGGGGACATGGTGAATGTGAGTGTACGAAGGGAGGAGGCGGCCATGGTCCATGTCAGCAAAAGAGGGAAGGAGGGCACAGGGCAAGCCAGCAAAGGAGAGAGCAGTGCTGTTGAGCTTCCTGGTGTTTGGCATTTCCTGCTTTGCACCCCACTATGAAGACTTTCTATGCATTTGGTATTTCCCTGGATGCAGCGCCTTTTGCCGAGTTGTGGAGGCTTCCTACATGCTTGGCGCTTTATCAGGGGCGGCTGCTTCACTTGTGGAAGTTTCCTGTGCTTTTGGGGCTTCCTGGGGCATGCTGCTGGGGGTGGTTGAGGCTTTCAGGAGCTGGTACAGCTTCTTTCGCTGCCCTCCCTGCATTTGCACCATACTGCAGCACTCCCCCAACTCATTCATGGCCTGTGCTGACCTCCCAGGGCCTTTCCCAACCCCCTGAAGCAGCCCATGCTCCTTATCTGGGATTCTTGCCAATTATCGAACCACAATTCTTGTTTAACAATGGCAGCAAGGAGTGTTGGGATTGCGGTTGCTAAGCGATGTGATCATGTGACATCTCACTTTACAACCACCTCATTTAGCAACTTAAATTCCGGTTTCAATTGCAGTTGCACACTGAGAACTAACTGTATAGGAAAGCTCCAGGGCTGATCAAATCTCCATAAAGCTCTTATGGAGTGTGAAAAATTATGACAGCCCTTTGCAAACCAATGTAAAAAAAAAAGCAACAGGGACCCAGGACTGGAAAATATCTACTTACACCTAACCCATAAAAATCCAGATTTAAAATAATGTTTTAATTAAAGTAGTCCTAACACCACTTGCCAGCAAGAAAATGTTGAAAACCCTAAAGGGTTACAGTCCTATATGGAAAGAGAAAAATGGCAATCGTATGAGAAGTATTCAGGACAAACACTGGAGAACAAGTGTTTGTTTAATATTAGGTGGATGACAGAAACAGCAAGAAAAAATCAAAAAGAACTCAACTTCTGTTTTATAGACTACTCCAAAGCTTTTGATTGTGTTGATCATTTGAGACATTAGAAGGATATCGAAGCAATGGGTATACCCAAGCATTTATTTATTTATTTTACATATATATGTATTTATTTTATTTGTGTGTGTGTATTATACACACACAACTTTATTACACACACACACACACACACACACACAACTAAGAAACCACAATGTTACCTACAGCTTACATACTTGCAGCAGATGCCAGGATACCATTATCTATGTTTAGAGTTTGTATCACGATATTACTGCCCACTGTTATTTCAATGCAATAAAAATTTTAATGTAAAAACGTATGAATCCCGATTATTCTGACAGTCATGTTTTGAAAAGACATGCTTCCCCTATTAGTTATTTTGTGTACATTCCTGAAATATCTCAAAATCTGAAATATGTCAGTTACCAACAGATGGTTTTTTTATCCTTAAATAAGAGCATTGGTGCTTCCTATTAATAAACAACTTTAATGCCATCTAATGCTAGCATATAAGAGAGGCAGTTTTGGGTAGTGCTTAAGGCACCAGGCGAGAAACCATGAGTTCTCATTCTGCCTTAGACATGAAGCCAACTGGGTGACCTCAGCCCAGTCACACTCTCTCAGTCTTAGGAAGCAGGCAATGGCAAAATACTTTTGAAATCTTGACAAGAAAATTACAGGCGCTTGTCCAGGCAGTCGCCAGGAGTCATCCCTGACTTGAAAGCATCCCCCCCCCAAAAAAAGCACACAATCCTAACATATAGACTGAAACAGGTATCCCTATGCGGATCATTGACCAATCCAAGATTATCTACTTATTATAATTATGCCATCCCAGAATACCTTCTCTCCTAATTTTATTATATTCTAGTTTCAGTTCATTTGCACATTAGTACCACTCTCAGCAAAAAGTCCCAGAATAACTTAAAAACTAAAAGAAATTCTAATACTAGCTATCAAATTTAGGATAAATAGTAGCACCAAAGAAAATGAAAACATACCTTGATGTATAATTAAGGAAATTAATTAAAAATTAATTAAGAAAAACACTAAGATTTCAATACATTAATTCTATAGTTGCTAGATGCTCAAGCAAGAGATTATCTGAATAACTGAAAAGGCTGGGCACTTGCCCTTTTAATATTATTTGCAAAACTTATATAATTATTCAAGGGCATAGCATAATAACGCATTACATTTTTATCGCACATTTAGTATACTCTTATATGTGGCAGAGTAGAACAGAAATACTGCAGTAAAAAGGATAAAAGACTAACAGGTGGAGAGGGTGAAGGAAAATAGGTAAATTTCAGTATTAATTTTCTGTAATACAGGCAGTTCTTGATTTATAACTGCAACTGAGCCCAAAATTTCTGTTGTTAAGTGAGACAATTGTTAAGTGAATTTTATCCCATTTTATGACCTTTCTTGCCACAGTTGTTAAGTGAATCACTGCAGTTGTTAAATTAATGGCAGGGTTGTTAAATGAATTTGGCTTCCCATTGACTTTGTTTGTCAGAGGGTTTTAAAAGGTGATCACATGACACTGGGACACTGCAACTGTCATAAATATTACCAAGCATCTAACTTTTGATCACGTGATGCTGCAACGGTCTTAAGTGGGAAAAACAGTCATAAGTCACTTTTTTCACTGCCATTCTAATTTCAAATGGTCACTAAATAAACTGTTATAAATCAAGGACTACTTGTACATTGTAGCTAAATAACAATTGTAGGTGAGGTTGTGGATTCAAGAAGTAGATTGTTGCAGAAACTTCCATTTGTTATCCTGCCTTAAAAATACAGAATGAAAGATTTTTCCAATTTATTTATTTATACACACACACATCACACAAGTTTAGTTCAGGCATTTATTGCTGGCTTTGTTTTTTTTTAAGTTTAGTGTATCATTATTCAAATTGCATCATGAACATTCTTTCTGCTATACATTTTAATCTATTCTGCAAGATGGATATATTTTGATATTCAAATAACAATGATCCTTTAAAATGCATCACTTACCAGTAACTACTATGCTGCTCATATTAGAGTTCGGGCTATTGAGTACACTGCCTGAAAGAAGTTCGTCAGATCCTCTCTAAGAAAGAAAGAAACAATAAACAGTTTGCCATCTAAAAATACAAAATTGGTATTAACAATGTCAAAATGACATTAAGTGAAAATCTAGAGGCAGGAAACTATTTAAAGAATTATCAATTTTTTCACTAAACTTTCAGGTGTCCTTTCAAAAGATATTAACTTATTTACATCTATTTTTTATTCAGTTATGATAGTCTCTTCAGGTGAGACTAAAACAAAAGTTACTTGTCCAAAACCCCATGAAAATAGCAGATAAGAGATCTAAATTATAAAAATCCAATTAGAAAAATGAGAGGCAATTAAATTATTGGGTGGTATTTCCAAAAGCAATGAGAGCCTTGAAGCTGTAGATATGCAGTTTTTTTAAAGTTTGTAAATTCTTTTGAATTTTCAATATTTTTTAATATTTCTGAATAAATATGTCTTAAAAGGTAATCTGTTCTTCACACTAGTCCTAAAATTAGATAGAAAGAACCAAATTAAACAAATGAGCCAAAAGCAAATGAGGCCAAAACATTCTTATTCACTGATTTATTGAGGAAAATGATGAAAATGACTTTCTTCTGCTTTAATCATTCTTTGGTTGTATGTCATGTGTTTTCGGTTGTTGTCTTGTTGAATGACCCAGTTTCTCTTGAGTGTCAGTTCAGACAGATGCCCTGAGACTTTCCTGCAGAATTTGCTGATGCAATTCAGAATTCATAATTCTATCAATGAGGGCAAGCTGTCCAGGTCCAAAAGGAGGCAGAGAAGGCCCCAAAGCATGATAATGCCACCATGTTTCACAGATGGGATAAGATCCTTATTTTATTTATTATTTAAATTTATATACCGCCCTATCTCCCTTACGGGACTCAGGGCGGTGAACAGGCAATAATAAAAATCACAGTAAGTATTACATAAAAGCCTGCTCTAAAATATGAAACCCCTAACAAAACCCAATCAAAACTACGCCAGGCCAGCCGCATGGAATAGATGAGTTTTCAGGGCTCGGCGGAAGAGGCGCAGGTCCGCAATTGTACGTAGGTCGGGGGGGCAGGTCATTCCAGAGGGCAGGAGCTGCCACAGAGAAGGCTCTCCCCTTGGGGGTCGCCAGCCGGCATTGGCTGGCCGACGGTACCCTAAGGAGGCCCTCTCTGTGGGAGCGGACTGGTCGAAGGGAGATATTTGGTAGGAGGCAGTCTTGCAAATACCTAGGTCCATTGCCATGGAGCGCTTTAAAAGTTGTTACTAACACCTTGAAGCGCACCCGGAAGGCCACCGGCAGCCAGTGCAGCTCGCGCAGGAGAGGTGTTACATGGGAGCATCTAGAGGCCCCCCAAATCCCCCGCGCAGCCGCATTCTGAACTAGCTGGAATGCAGTGCTTGCCTTTCGCCAAACTGAAAAATTCAAGCCCAAGAGTTCTATTTTGGTCTCATCCGTCCACAGAACATTCTTCCAATCGCTTTCGGGCTTATCCAAGTAGTCTTTCATAAACTGTAGATGGGCAGCAATGTTCCATTTGGATACTGGTGGAGCTCAAACTCTTTTGGAGTTTTGTAACCTTTTGTTAGTTTTGTAAACTTTTCTAAACTGGTGAGCATTAATAACTGTTTTTTTGTAGTTCACAGATATCTCCTCTATTTGAGTCATGCCACACTTCCAAATACCTATGTTGTGAACATCAGACTGAGGTGTGGTGGTGCAGTGGTTAGAATGCAGCATTGCAGACAAACTCCGCCCACAGCCAGGAGCTTAATCCTGAGCAGCTCAAAATTGACCCAGCCTTCCAAAGTTGGTAAAATGAGGACCCAGATAGTTGGGGGCAACATGCTGGCATTGGTAAAATGCTCAGTAAGTATTATAAATCACTATGGAACGGTATATACTATAGGTCTAAATGCTATTGCTATTGATAGTGATCACCTACAATTCTGTTCAAGACAGGACCTCCCATACTCATACCCAATTATAATCCCATTTATTGAAACCTATGACTCTAATTTCTCCTTCAAAAGAAGTTTAAGTAATTCTAGAGTTTCACAGGTCTTTGCTTCACACAAATATGTAGTTTTGGATCATTTTCCTCAGTAAGTAAATAAACAAGTATAATGTTTCTGATTCATTTTTTTAATTGGGTTCTCTTTATCTAGTTTTAGGGCTTGTATGGAGAACTGCTCAGATTTTAGATCATATTTATGCAAAAATATTGAAGGGTTCACAAACTTTTAAGCACTACCGTATCTTCATCCTCCTTTGATTTTCTTGGCATAGGAAAATGAGGGAAGTTTTGAAAACTACCATTTTGCAGAGATTTTGAAAGAGTCCAGAACTGAGGACAGATTTAACCCATAGATCTGAGATTCCACATTTCTAATTTAAAACTGCGAAAATCAAGAAAAAAGTCTATTAGTTAAGGAACCAGATAGAAAATAGGAGCTATGAATTCAAGTCCTGCCTTAGGCCGTGAAAGCCAGCTGGATAACTATGGGCCAGTCACTGCCTCTCAGCCCAAGCCACCTCACAGTGTTTTTGTAGGGAAAATAGTAGGCAGAGGGTGTGTTGGATATGTTCGCTGCCTTGAGTTATTTGTAAAAATAATAAAGGCAGGGTACAGATAAATAAATAAGTCTCCAAAAGCAAATGAAGACCAAGTGAAGAACTGGTTATACAAACTGATTAGGAAGTTAGAACAGCTTCCTTTCCAGAAATGACTACAGCATTTTAATATTTTGATCTCGGAGCTAAAGTAAAGAAGGAAGACATCACACTGGGATATAAAATCATACATTGTACAAAAATATGAATAAAGAGGGCTTTCTTTCTCTCTCTTCAAGAAGCAACCCACTAAAACAAAATATAGGAGGAAACAGATAAGAGAAATATTTCTTTACCAACTGCATCACTAAACTTCAAAAGTTGATGCCATAAAACGTGATGATAACTATCAAGACACTGGAGGATTTTATTATTATTATTATTATTATTATTATTATTATTATTATTATTATTATTATTATTATTATTATTATTAAAATTTAAATTTATATGCTGCCTGACTCTCAGTAATTATGGGAGATTTACGAACTATTTGCAACATTAAAAATAAAACACTGAAACAAAAAAGGATTATTAATAGTTAAATTAATACCTATATAATGCTTCATGAATCATAGCTAGCTGGAAAGTCATATGGTTATCACTCTCTTGTTCATGATTGTGAACTTCCAAAAGCATCTGTTGGCCAATATGTAACCCAAAACACCGAAATAAAAGGGCTCTTGCTTTACAGGTAGTCCTCAACCTATAGCTATGGCCTTAGAAAAAGTGACTTACAACCCATCCTTCAATTGTGATCATCACACCAATCCCATCTGATTGCAATTTGGGCACTTGGCAACTGGCTCGTATCTGTGATGGATGCAGCGTCTTATGGCCATGTGACCATCATTTGTGACCTACTCAGCCGACTTTTGACAAGCAAAGTCAATTGGGGAAGGCGGATTTGTATGATTCACTTAACTGCAGTAAAAAGGATCCAGTCACATGAGACTTGCTTAATGATGACAGATGAACACTCTTAGTGATCAAAATTCCAGTCCATTTGTGACCATAAGTTGAGGACTACCTGCATAGTCTTGATAATGCTGGGCTTACTAAGTATTCATTCCCTCTTAACTGTCACATTCTGTACCACTTGTATATATATGGCTATTTAAATTAACAGGAGACACCAGGTTGTTGAAAAAGAGATTCATATATTTTCCCCGACTTGATATGCCACTATTAGACAATAGCAAAATTGTTTTTATCGTGGCTGAATTATTTTTGTTAAAATATATACACTCCTTTTCAGGGTAATTAATTATGCAAAGCATAGAATAAGAATTAGAAGTAGTAATACCCTGTCTTCAAACCCTGGTTTGTCAAAGGAGGGACAAAGCAGGAAGCTAATTTCATATGTAATATTTACTTTTTCAATCTTTGCTAAATTCACAAGAAAACTGAAAAGTAATGATCCTTTCAGTTGAGCTCAACTTCTGTATGAACAATTGACTATTTGCATAATTATCTTCATTACAGCATGGAAATCGTTCAATGTTGCTTTTTTCCAGGAAGTTTTTTGACATCCCAATGAGGTCTTCAGCCCAATTCCCTCATGGTCTCCCATCTAAATCCAACTCTGCTGAACTTCCATACCTGGACAGGATCAAAGATGTAACTGTTTCCATATGCAAGAATCAACTTATCAGGCTCCACAGATGAGCATATTTCCTCATGTGAATGCAACAATTGGTTTGAAAGATAAAGTAATGTTTTTAATAAATCCTGAAGGTTTAATTAAAATTTACCCACAATTTAAGATAGGAATATTTGATAACCATCACTTACTGTACCTTTACAGAAAATTGACAGTTTTTGCTAACCTCAATTCCATGAACATTCTGAGTTACCATTATATTTTAAAATAGCTTCCATCTATGTAAAGAAGATTATATTGACAGTTAAAACTGCCTTTTAAAATGTGTTTTAAGGACAGTGTAAAAACCTTTGTGGTATAACTTTCCAAGATTTTTGGAAACTATTTAAATCATCTTCTTGCAATATATTTGAGTCATTGATTCTCCTTTAGCATATTTCTGCACTAGACTTTTGGCTTATTCCAAAAAGGGCCAAAAGAAGGATTAGAGATCATTTACTCTAGATCGGGGTCCCAAACCCGCGGTCCATGGAGCGGCATCAGTCCGTGGCATGCCAGAAATCGGGCTGTGCAAACAAGCAAAGCCCCATCCGCGGGATGCAGGCAGCACACAAAACCACATCCCCTCTGGTCTACAGAAAAACCTCTCTCCACAGAACCGGTCCCTGGTGCCCAAAAAGTTGGGGGCTGCTGTTCTAAATGATTATATCTACCATGCGCTCATCAATCTTGGGGATGAGACCAGGGTATCAACAGAGTCAAAATGGCAAGTTTGATCAGGTGATTGAAACCCTGTCTCTGTGCTTCAATACATCACATATACTGTACATAAAAAGGATTGAGACTTCCACCGCTTTCTTGTATCCATCATTTTGACATTGATTCCTTTTTACAAACTCCCGTTTTGATCCTTAAAGAACTACTGCCACAATTCTCTGAAAATATCATAGATTATTGTAGAATATTTTATACATTTATCTAACCCATTTAGGGCATAGAAAACTCTTCTAATGATTCTGTTTAATCATAAAGATGATTAAACTAAACGATTTTCCTTGAAGAAAGGTATTACAGCCACCCAAAACAGATACATGGGCCCAAAAACCTTGTTCTGCCCAATTTTAGTTTGATTGCTCATTTAACAGCCTAGAATTATTCCATTGCCTTCCTTGTTAGCTTCAAAAGAGCCAAAATGTTTTGCTTTCTTCAAGTATTATTAGTTCCCATATATATTAAATGATTTACAGTTAACAGTTGCTGTTAATTACATACAGTAATTATTATTTTGTTTAAGGAGTAAAGTGGCTATCTTTCCTTATAACTCTGTGATTAACAGTGATGATGTTGACAAAATAAAGTATCTATTCACAACTGTCTGAACATGGCAAAATGGATAATTCTTTCCATTTGGAGTATTTAAAAGTATCCAATAAGTTATTTACATATATGGATTTGTGGACTCTTAGGTGCTAAGTTTGGTTGTTTTACTGTAGAAGTTTCATTACCAAACTAGGCAACTCTAATGTACTGATGATATTCCCCACAGCTACAAATATTCTCTTATACCTAGATTTCCCAATGAATGTTTCTATTTCTAGTACAAAACTTCTGAATATGGTAGAATAATCCCCCAGAAATTTTCATTTCAAAAATCTAGCACCACATCTAAAACTTTAGTCTGCAACCAATATTAGCCTAATGTGATGCTTTCTTTTTTTTCCCCAGTAACTCACAATGTAATATGATTTAGTTTTATAGATAAATCACACCAATATGATTTGTTTCAGAAAACAATTAAGTATTCTGGCTCAGAATTATGTGCAAATCAAACTTTTATTTAAATTAGGATTATGTTATATGTAGACCAGGATTACAATTTCTCTAAGATAACAACCATTTCTCACCAAAGTAAGCCTAAACGGGAGGTCAGAAATGGATATACATATAAGGTAACTGAAAAGGAAAGCAATGTGTGCAGGACATTTTTTTCACACATTATAGTAAGCCTAAATTTCACTTACCGCAGCCTAAGCTAATTTTAGAGACACATTGTTTAAGGACAGTATTTTTTTTAAAAAAAAAATAATACCAAAATTGGCCCAATTTTTTTTAAAAAAATCTTTTTTATGCCCTTGTAATCCATTAATTTGAGGTAAGATTACAAAAGTTATCATCTGCACTCTAATTATACTTTATTCATCAAGAATGCCCCTACTTACACAGGTATGCGCATATATCATATAAAGTCAAAATGTGGCTTACTTATTCGTGATTTTGTGTGCTATATGAACCCAATCCAACAATTTATGTCTCATTACAAGGTATTTCAACAGTTACTAATTCTTTCCTTTGATATGTTGTTACATTATACTCCATTTATTTAGATACAATTTTTTTCCTAATATTAATATAGCAAAAGTACTTAGATTTATATACCACTTCATAGTGCTTTACAGCTCTCTCTAAGCAGTTTACAATGTTAGTATACTGCCTCCAACAATCTGGGTCCTCATTTTACTGACTTTGGAAGGTTGGAAGATTGAGTCAACCTTGAGTGGCTCAGAATTGAACTCCTGGAGTGAGCAGTGAGTTAGCCTGCAGTAATATCGTACATTCTAACCACTGCAACACCACTATAATATTATAGTATTATTAACAAAAATCTTTACAATTTGGCTTCTACTGTATTTCAAACCCTAATTTCAGGAACAAGCCTCTTCAAAAATGGGGAATATTTATGCTTGTAATACAGTTTCTGGGATCTGATCCTAACCTACTCATAGTGAAATTTTGAAAGAAAAATCTACCAACAGTTTGCAGAGGATACAGAATCCAAAGTTAAATTAACCAATCAAGACAAAGGAAAAGGAAAAACAAACCAAAGTTTAGTCCATAAAATAGTATGCCAAGCTGTTTAGTGAATAAAATGTTTTGGGCATGTGGCCACACACTCTCATACATAAATCATGATTTACAAAGCATACTGATTAGATTTACACTCCACATCAAAACCAACAAAGCCAAATCATGGTTTAATGCAATGTGTAAACCAATAGATGTGTAAACTGTAAGTATTAAAGGCAGAGGGCAAGAAAAATTGTGCAGGCAAAGGAGTATACCTATTTACAGCACAATTCCATTACTTGAGGTATAAAATTTGCAAAGGCTATAGCTTGAAAAGACCTTTAAGAATAATAAAAACAGCAGGCCTTGAGAATGTACCTAAAATTGCTTGAAATGAAATAAAATTCTTTTTCCCCCAGTACTATTGTAAAAACCCTAAATTAGAAGTGTGAAAATCTCCTATCAATTATCTCCTTCTCTGCAAGCTATTCAATAATGTTTTAATTCATTCTATAGCTGGTTGCAATTATATTTAGATACTGGTAATTATGGTAAATAATTTGGGGGTTTTCTACTAACTTCTAGGTTGCTTGAAGATTCAAGATAAAAGAATGACAAGTAGTCACCAAGATAATACTAAACAAATTTAGAAATAAATATTTTAGACCAATGTTTTCATTATTCAACATTATAATTTAAATTGATTACATACCTTCACACCAACTGCAACATCAGTAACAATGCTGGGGAAAAAAATCAGATTTTAGAAGAGGAAATGTTTTTTTTTTTCCACCAAGGCAAACATTTTTCATAAAATCAAATATTCAATTTGCTGTTTACTTCCTGTTTACTTAAAAACTAGGAAAAATTGAGAATAGAAATACATTAGCATTTTCACATTGCTATACAGTACTTATATCATCATATGACATATTTATTAAATTTATTTGCCAGCCATGTCGCTATTCAAAGTGGCACTATCATATTAAAGGTAAATGATTGTGTTGAATAAGAAACAAATAAATTTCTACTTCCCTGCTTTTCCCCCAGAATTTTCTACAGAGTTGCTCCAAATCTGTTGTGGTGCCCCCCTCCTCCATCCTCCATTGCAGATTAGACATATGGTTAGCTACATAGAGAAGGAGTCTGCATACAATGGAAATTGCTAGAATGACAAAACTTGAGGGGTTTCCTTCTCCCAAGAAAATCTGCCAGTTCCGCATGCTCACATGGGGAGGGGCATACTCTAGGTTCCTTCTTTTAAGTATCTACAGCACGGGTGTAAAACTCGCCGTGTCACGTGATGTGTCGCGACGTATTGTGACTTTTTTTGCATTGCTGGAGCTGTGCAGCTCTGCATGATGCAACTGGCCCAAGGGCCGGCAGTTTGACACCCCTGATCTAAAGCCTTTTCTGTAATTGCTCCTGTTCTCTGGAACAATCTTCCAGTTGATATATGACTGGCCCCAACTCTGCTTGCATTTAAGACCTGGCTTTTCTTCCAGGCATTAGGGACTAGTTGAATTGATCCCTCTTTGGTTGTTCTGTTGTGATGGTGAGTCACCATTTTTTCCCTGCATTTTATATTTATGTATTTTAATCTTATGTTGGTTTGTGGGGTTTTTGTTGTTGTATGCTGCTGTCAGCCCTATGAAGTGGTCCAACTAAGAAATCAAAACTATGAGTTTTGGTATTACTTTTATTCTCAGGTTACAATAACAGAATATTGCAAGTCTGAAAGCACTTTCCCAATCCTCTGCCTTTATTTTTCCAGAGGAATAGGGAGGAAGGTCCCTTCTGAGATATTTTCTCGATCCCATCACTGCTTTATACCGATTTCATTGATCAAATCATTATCTAGACTGTGGCTCTTCCTTCTCATTCCCAATGTTCTTCCCCACAGCCCAATACATCTGCCCAGAGTCATATTGTTTGAGTTGAGTTGAGTTGGGTTATAACCCTAGTTAATTAAAGTGCAATTAAATAGATTGTTCTAATTATTTTTATACTTATTGTATTAAAATTCTAGCTTAAAGTGTTTTGTTTCATGGCACAGTGAATAGCATCAGAATAAAGAATACCCTACATGCCGCAAACACATACTGTATAAAATAGAATTATGACAAGCAAAGAAGTTGAAATTAATATATTTTAAACACTGTAATTATACTGTAAAACCTAACATCTTGGGTTCCCTTAAATTCAGTTTATATGAAATTAAATACAAACAACCAGTTCCTTTAAAAAAAAATCGGGGGGGGGAGGATTTGAGAACACTATTATTTATATAATCCGTTTCCAGTCAAAAATTAAACTGAGGTTCATCAAATGGCATATATTTAAGGGAGATATATATGATCCCAAGACTGGGTTTTGATAGCTTCCTTACAGTATAGCTATCACAGAATCAGTTTTTGTATCTCATTTTATGAAAATCACAATCATGCCTGGATGCCTCTCAAAACCCCATTGTGATTATAAAATTACACTGAATTATCTTAGAAAACACATTTGAGTAATGAAGTCATTGTGACCAAAGTGATTATCAGCAGCATGTCAAGCAATAATCATAATATCAAGTTATAAAGGCAACTTGCTAAATTTATTTACCAGCATGTACTAGAGCAGTGGTTCTCAACCTTTTTAATGCCGTGACCCCAACCGGTCGTAAGTCGAGGACTAAACCGGTCGTAAGTCGAGGACTACCCAACCGGTCGTAGGTCGAGGACTTTCCCTGCCCGGGAGCGCCGCACATGCGTGGTTCCGCCCCCTGTGCCGGCCGAGGCGTAGCTGGCAAGCGGCAGAGACGGAGCAGGCCGACCACCAGCTGGCCCAGCCCAAGGGAGGTAAGGCACCCGCCGGAAAAGGGAAAAAAAATGGCAGACAAAAAAATGGCGGACAGCCTTGCTTGGCGACCCCCGTGGAATGGTCGATCGACCCCAAATGGGGTCCCGACCCACAGGTTGAGAACCACTGTACTAGAGCTCTAACAAACTAAGACCATGATCAAAGAAATTAAATTAATATTTATTATTTATTTATATAAATTTATTGGCTGCCCAACTCCAGTGGATTTCAGGCAGTATACAAAAATAGGGAAAAAACAGCTAAAAACATAAAATCAGACACACAGTCCAGATTAAAAAATGTGATGAACAAAACAAAAAATATCATAAGCATCAAACGTTCCAGAATCCTAGTAATGTGCAGTCGTCATTGAAGGGGGGAGATATGCTGTTCCTAAGGGTGGGAGCCACAACAGAAAAGAACCACTTCCTAGGTCCCACAAGAGGACAGTGCTTAATGGGGAGGACTTAGAGTACTCCCATTCTTACTAGAATGTACTCCGCAGACAGAAACAATTGGAGATAAGCAATCTCCCAGATATTCAGAGCCTATAAAACTTTATAGGTAATAACCATATAAATCATTATCACAAATGGACTGAACAAAAGTTACAAAACTAGAGCATACCACTTTAGCTCATTATTACTACTGTAGTTGATCACACAGTCACATATTTAGATTGAATTTGATATTTTTATGCATCTATCAAATCCTTTCAAGGGCCTGGGATAGGCAGATGTCGTCTGATGGTGTGAAGGTTATCACCACAACATGTAAGCTGACCCAAGTAATGCTGTTTTTTTTTGCAATTTGGTGTTCATGTGGTGCTACAGATGTTTTGGGATTGCCTATCACTATTGTTACTATCTTTGCTTTCTTTTAGAATGCATTATTTTGAAAAAATTGAAATCAAAGCTGAATGATGGGATTATCATTAAAGCAATTAAACCTGGGCAGTCCCTATTATTCTATATACAGGAATAACTGACAGGACCCAGATAGAACTTGATAACTTGGATTGGAAGCCAAGAAAAAATGACAGTGCACAAGCCTTGCTCCCAAAGGTGACACTGATCAATTGTATTTGGCAAGAGTTGAGGAGTATAGAATTCCTACAAGTGAAGCAAACTAGAAAAAGAAAAGTATGGCCTGAGCCAGGAAGCCTTGCTGAAGGAAATCAATCAAGGAAAGCTCTTGAAAACAATAAAGGTGAAAGGTGAAAACTGAATATAGAAAAGAAACAATTGAAAACCAATTTGTTAATTGGAAGAGCAAGCCAATGGTCAATACTTGAAGAAAATAGATTAAAACCCTTATATGGACTTGCTTAAAATCAAGACTGTTAAAGAAAGAAACTGAAGGCTTTATTTTGGTGGCTCAAGAACAAACTTTGTCAACTAACTGCATTATGGCAAAAATACAACATACAACAAACGGCAAATGTCATCTTTGTAGGAAAAGGATGAAACAATTGACTTTTTGATCAGTGGCTGCAGCAGGAGCAAAATTTAACAAATTACAAGCAGTATTATGACCGAGTTGCCAGAGGTTTGGATTTAAATGTAGTAAAAACTATTGGGACCATCAAAATTGAGAAGGTTTTGAAAAATGAGCAGGTTATTATGGGACTTAAAGATCTAACAGAGAGGAATCTTGTTCATAATAACCATAAGACCAGAGGTGATTCTAAGAATAAATGGCAGTAGAAATTCTGAACATGGAAAACCAAAAAAAGAGAGAAAGCAATCCAGTATTGGAAAGATCTATGGGAAACCTCAATAGACTATAATAAAAACTTTGGATGGATAAAAGAATCTGAAGATGAATTTAGTAAAATCAAATGAAAGAACTAATAATTACAGCAGAAATTATTAAAAATTAAGAACTGGACATCTCTTGGAAATTATCAGTTGCATGGCTTTTGGCTCAAATATCTGACTAGCTTACATCCAATTATAGCTAAACATCTTAATGAAATACTGCACAAAGAAGACATCAGTGATTGATTATTCTGGCAAAACTTACCTGATTCAAAAATACCAAGTGAAAGGGACAACACTAGTAAACTATAGGACAAAAACATGCTTGCCTACAATGTTTAATCACCGGTCTAGTAACGGACAATATCCAAAATTGATTGGAAGAAAATAACATCCTTCCAGTAAAACAAAAAGCAATAAAAGGAAAAGCAGAGGCACAAAAGATCAACTTCTGATTGGTAAAATGGTTTTGAAGAATTACAAAAAGGTGAAAAACTAATTTACACATGGTCTGGATTGATTATAAAAAAAGTATTTGATTCATTACCACATGGATTATCAAATATTTGCAAACAACTCTTGTCAATAAAATCATTAGAATGCTTATAGAAAAAATAATGAAGCAGTGGAAGATAGAATTGGTGGTTAGAAAACAAATATGTGGGCTTGTCAACATTAAGAGAGACATCTTCCAGGGTGACTTAGCATTATCCTTATTATTTGTCATTGCTACAATCTTTGAAGAAAATAAATCTTGACTACCATACTACAAAAATGCTAATAAAACCTTCTATTTGCTTTATATGGATGATCTGAAACTTTATGCAAAGTTGGAAATCAAAATCCAATCACTGACAAATACAGGTAGTCCTCAACTTACAACCATTTGTTTAGTGACCATATGACGTTACAATGGCACTGAAAAAAGTGACTTATGACCATTTTTCACATGAACATTGCAGCATCCTTGGGGTCATGTTATCAAAATTTCAACACTTGGCAACTGGTTCATATTTATTTTTAAATAAATGACTCATAAATAAATAACTAGCTCATATTTATGACGGTTGCAGTGTTTTAGCATCATGTGATCACTGTTTGCAATCTTCTGACAAGCAAAAGTCAAAGGGGAAACCAGATTCACTTAACAACTATATTATTAACTTAACAACTGCAGTGATTCAGTTAACAATTGTGGCAAGAAGGGTTGTAAAATGGGACAAAATTCACTTAACAATTATCTTGCTTAGCAATAGAAATGTTGGGCTCAATTGCGGTCATAAATCAAGGACTACCTGTGAAGTAAAAATATTTAGCACAAAATGTAACAATGAGATTTGGCCTAGAGAAATGTGCTACAGTAGCAATAAATTGGGATCAAAACACAAACAGTAATGGACTGAAATACCGAATGGCCAAGCCATCAGGAGCCATTAGAATGAAGCCTACAAGTATCTGAGCATTTTACAGTTGAATAACATTAAGCATAGACAACTTAACAATGTGATAAGTAAAGAATACATCCAAAGAGTGAGAAAAGTGATAAAGAGAAAATTGAACAGTGAAAACACCATCAAAGTCACCAATAATGGCCCATACTTATGATGCAATACACTGCTTGATTAACTGACACAAGCTGAACCAGTTTGGACTGAAAAGCAAGAAAGCTAATGACTATTCACTATGTATTACATCCTGGAAGTAATATTGATAGATTGTATGTGCCATGCAGAAATGGATGCAGAGGTTTACTTCAAGTGAAACTATCAAAGAAGAAAAGCATACATTATATAAAAGATAGCAAAGAGCAAGCATTGAAGCAAGTTAAAAATTGGAACTTTTTAAATGTATAGGAAACAAAACATGAAATGTACAATTATTTCAAAAAGAATAGAATGCTGGTAAGGAAAAGCATTGCAGTACATGTCAATTTCGACAAAAGATTAAGGGGAAAATGGAGAAAGATAAAAACTGGAAATGGCTTGCACTGGCACATTAAATAAGAAACTGAAGGCTTGATTTTGGCTGCTCAAAAGCAAGCTATTCAAACTAATGCAATAAGACCAGAACTGAAAAATCATCAAATGATTTAAAGGGCAGACTGGGCAAGGAAGCAGAAGAAACAGTAGATCATATACTCAGCTCATGTAAGATCACAACAACTGATTATAAACAACATAACACAGGAACCAAAATGGATTGATGTTCCAAACTGGAACATCTGTAAAAAAAATTATGATGTGCCAGCAATGAAAAATTGGTAGAAGCTTATAGTTGAAAAGGTACTAGAAAATTAGCATTGTGTCATTTCCAATTATACAAACGGATAAAGTCTTGACTCATAACAAACCAGAAATAACAGTGGTTGGGGGAAAAAAAGGTGTGGATTGATGTGGCAATAGGGAATAGTAGAATAAAAGAGAAAGAATTGGAGAAGATTCCTGAATATCAAAATGTGAAATTGAAATATTATGGCAAAAACTGGCCTTAGTGGTCCCAGATGTTCTTTGCAGACAGGGTGCCATACCCCAAAATCTTAGAAGGTACTTAGAAAATCTGCACCTCAATAAAATTTCCACCTGTCAATTACGAAAGGCAACACTACTTGGATCCTATGTCAATAAATTAGGACATACTAGATTCTTGGGAAGGATTTGACACGTATGAAGGCCAACGCCAGCTAAAGAACTGGCAGGTGTGATTTCACATCATTGTGTGTAGTAATAATAATAATAAAGAAACCTAATGATTTCCCCCTTGACCAACCGATTTCAAATTACTGTCAGCTCTCAACCATGAACTTCGCTAAGGCCCACATTCGAATACTCCTGTTTAAAACGGCACAGCTTTATCCGCCCAAAGCAAATTTAAATATTGTAGAATGATAAGGGTGATAAAAATTTCATCTTTCTTGACGCTGACCCCTTACTATTGTGGTTGGTCTGCTTGGCCTCCCAGAAAAAAAAAAAGAAGAAGGCCTTGTCTGAGCAACGCTACAGACTTACCCACCCCAATATCCATTCCCCGCCAATGAGAGCCCTTGTGTTGTTACCATACGGCAGACACCCACAGCCGTTTCCTCCCCTTCGGCTTTGACAGAACGGCCTTCGAGGCACACACAAAGGCATCTTTCTGTCTTGGAGGGGAGAAGGCCGCGGAGCAGCAGCTATGGGGAACAAAAGACGAAGGCGTCTGCCTCCTGCTGCTCTCTGCTCCCTTCGTCTGGTGGTGTTGGAGGGGGGGGGAGGCAGGCTACAAAAGGGGGCCGGGGACTTGTGGGGCGGGCTTTCTCCAAGGCGAATAAAAGAGGGCCGCTCGGGAAAGAGTCAGAAGAAAATGTGTAAATCCACTCATTCAGCATTTAAGGCCTTGGTTCGGGTTGCCCTCCTGCTTGGATCACCCGGCATCTCAGAGACCAGCCGTAGGAAGATGCCTCATGTCAGCGCCTCAGCGCTGCTGGCGGGCCCAAGTCCCCGAGAAGGCAGCAGACTCGGAGGCGGGAGGGGGAGGGGAGAGCCGTCGTTCCCGTCCACCTTCCCGGCCTCTTCTCTCCCCCCCCCTTCCCCCCCACCAAGAAACACACCCCTTTTCCTCTCATCCCGAAACCTCCTGGCTCGCACACCCCGAACCAGCCGGCGAGGATGAAGGGGGCTGAGGAAGAGCAGACAAGGGATGCGCTGCCAGTCCCCGCCAGATACGATGCAAAGAGAAGGAAGGCGGGAGAAGTGGCGGCACCGACGACGGCGGCGGCGGCGGCGACAACTCCCTCCTCCCTTTCTTATTCCCGGCGGCCGTCCCTCATTCACTCCCTCACTCACCCGTCCATCGCCGAACAGGACAAAGCGCTGGCGACCAGGGCAGGGAGCCGCGCAGCTAGCGAGTAAAGAGAGGGAGCGAGAAAATGGCGGCCGGGCCCCAACGGAAAACACCGAAGGTTGCCGAAGCTCTATTAGGTTCTGCTCCCCATCAAATCGGAGAGCTCTTTTGTTCTCAGTGGGCATGCGCGAGGTGGCTCGGGCATGCTCAGTCCACAAGACTGAGGGATTTTTTTTTGCCCTCAAAAGATTAGGAAGGTGTAAAGACCAGGGAAATGGGGTGTGCATACACCGGGGAAGGGGGGGGGGAGACGGTCCTGAGTTCTGCGTTTTGGTCATGAGAATATTGATTGAGGCAAAGGTATTATTTATTCAGGATCTGCTTCCGAGTTATATTTATTTGCATAGGAAGATGCTTTTCAGAGTAGCTCATTTTGATCTGAGCAACCTTTCATACCTACACTGGGCCTGTTTTTTTCTTCGATGTAGTAAATATTGAGTAAATGTCTACTGTATTTTGCACCTTTTGCTAGGCTCGCACCGCATCTTCAGTCAAACACACAGTTTCTTATTTGTGAATAGCATATTTGTGACCCAAGCTGGTAAGGTTTTTGCAGTATTACTCAGACTCTATACTAAGTAAAAGTTTGGAAAATGCAGGGAACACCGAATCGAAAGTCCCTGGTTTTGCCTTTAAAAACATGGGAATTCTTTTAAGGCAGGAGATAATCATGATGACTGCACTTGTATATGCCTTCCCATCCAATTTTTAGAGGTGTTTCAAACTCCATTATATACCAATTACTCCAAAATGAAATATTTAATTTTATTAATATACTCTAAGCCATTACCACAACTTCTAGGGCAAATTTGATGACCTGAGTGGTAAAGAGGCTAGGAGCAAGTGGAACTCTAACCCAGTTAGAGTTTTAAATATATTCGGTATTGTTTCTTCTACCCGGAGTTTTATTTTGGGGTTGATTATGCAAGATCATAATCAGCAAGTATAGACAAGCAGTAACTTGAGACCTATTTACCATTACAGGTAGTCCTCAACTTACAACAGTTCGCTTAGTGACAGATCAAAATTACAGCAGCCTGGAAAAAAGTGACTTATGACCATTTTTCACACTTAAGACGGTTGCAACATCCTCATGGTTGCGTGATTTATATTCCGATGCTTGACAACTAACTCACATTTATGACGGTTGCAGTGTCCCAGGGTCATGTGACCACCTTTTGCAACATTCTGATAAGCAAAGTCAATGTGGAAGCCAGATTCATTTACCGTGTTTCCCCAAAAATAAGACCCGGTCTTATATTTATTTATTTTTTCCTCCAAAAGAGGCACCAGGTCTTATTTTTTGGGGGAGGGGTCTTTTCCACTCATCTCATGGCCGCAGCAGCACTGTCGGCCCCACCCAGCTGGCCCACTTCTGCAGCTGAAGGAGCAGCTTCATTCTGCAGCTGAGAATGAAGCTGCTCCTTCGGCCGCAGAAGAAGTTGGCCAGCGAAGCAAGTGTCAATTCAGGGGAGCCCGGTTACAATGGTAATCTCCACCCCTGCCCTAGCTTGATTTTCAGGCATGCACCTCACCCCAAAACTAAGGCTTATTTTTGGAGTGGGGCTTATATTAGGCCCACTCCCAAAAATCAAGCTAGGGCTTATTTTGGGGTTAGGTCTTACTTTTGGGGAAACACGGTAACAACCAAGTTACTAATTTAAAAACTGCAGTGACTCACTTAACAAATGTGGCAAGAAAAGTCATAAATTGGAGCAAAACTCACTTAACAAATGTCTCATTTAGCAACATAAATGTTGGGCTCAATTGTGGTCATAAGTTGAGGGCTATCTGTATTCTGTAAATGTTTACATGTTGCTACAGTTAGTTCTTGACTTGCAACCACAATTGAACCCAAAATTTCCATTGCTGAGCAAGACAGTTGTTAAGTGAATTTTGCCCAATTTTACAACTTGCTCCAGTGAAGTGAATCACTGTAGATGTTAAGTTAGTAACACGGTCCTTAAGTGAATCTGGCTTCCTCACTGATTTTGCTCATCAGAAAATCACATTATGTGATCAAATGACTCTGGCATGAATACATGCCAGTTGCTAAGCATCAGAATTTTGATCACATGACCACAGGGATGCTGCAATGGTGGTATGAAAAACAGTCATAAGTCACTCTTTCAATGCTGTTGTAACTTTGAATGGTCATTAAATAAAGGGCTATAAGTCAAGAACTACTCGTATTTGTATGATAGATAGATAGATAGATAGATAGATAGATAGATAGATAGATAGATAGATAGATAGATAGATAGATAGATAGATACTGTAGATAAGATAGCTAGACAGACAGACAGATAACCTTTATTGTCACACCTTAAAAATGAAATTTAGTTGCTTGCTCTCAAACTGTGCATAACATACATAACACACATTTAAACATATTATATACAGCATATGTATAGACCTATACCCTTACATATAAGTAACATATACTGTAAATATTAATCACTGTCCATCTTGAATACATAACGGAAGGAGGAAGCTTTAGAGTTCACAAGGTTAATACTGTATGGAACAAAACTGACTGAATCTGAATGTTCTGCTTCGGATACCATGGAGCCTCCTCCCAGAAGGTAACAAAGAAAACAGGTCATGAAGAGGATGTGTAGTATCCCAGGCAAGCTTGCAGATTGTTTTTAATTTTAACTTGGATGTTTCAGGGAACCAATTTTCATTGGCTCTCTTTTTATTGATTCATTGTCAGTTACTATTGGGGGCCACAGGGAAGCAATGAGCTGACTCTTGCACAAAGCCATGGATTGCTTCATGGTAATTTGTTTTAACAGCATAATTGGCTGGGGTGATCCAAAATCCTGAACTATAAGCAAGAATTAGTTTCATGCGTCACACGTAAGCCAAAAGCTTACGTGTGACAATAAAGCAAACAAGATACACCCAAACACTTTGTGACCTGATTCCAGAAGTCATCCAAGATTATGTAAACAAACCAGAAAACCTATGTACAAACATAGTATACAAACCAGCAAGGTAGAAGACTACCATATTATATGTATTGGTTCACTTTGTTAGAGGTTCTGTTGATATTATGGTTTATTTGTACAACAACATCTTTAGGCTTTTCATAGTTCACAAATGTGGATTCACACATTGTGCTAAGTAATATTTGTTCAATGAGACAGTTTATAACTCATAATGACTAATGTATTAAAACAGAATAAACCACATTATAACTTTAGTTATGTTCCAATCATATGCATATCTGCTGTATGTTGGCAAGTAAAATGGAGACAAAAATGATGTGTGCAATCTACAGAATTGCGCAATGGACTTTACTGAGTCCTTTTAGAATGTAGGAATGTAGGAAAAGTTGTTGATACAGAAAGAAAAACAAGTAAAAATCCAAAGGAATCAGCTGAAGGGAAGAGGTTGCTATTTTTGTAAAAAAAAAAAAAAAAATCCACCTTCACTGACGCTTGCTCCCGGGGAGGAAAGCTATGGCAAATCTAGACAGCATACTAAAAAGCAGAGACATCACCCTGCCAACAAAAGTACGTATAATCAAGGCCATGGTTTTCCCAGTTGCAATGTATGGCTGTGAAAGTTGGACCATAAGAAAGGCTGAGCGCAAAAGAATTGAGGCCTTTGAACTATGGTGCTGGAGAAGACTCCTGCGAGTTCCTTGGACTGCAAGGTGATCAAACCAGTCAGTCCTAGAGGAGATCAACCCTGACTGCTCTTTAGAAGGCCAGATCCTGAAGTTGAAACTCAAATACTTTGGCCACCTAATGAGAAGGAAGGATTCACTGGAGAAGGGCCTAATGCTGGGAAAGATCGAGGGCAATAGAAGAATGGGACGACAGAGAATGAGGTGGCTGGATGGAGTCACTGAAGCTGTAGGCATGAACTTAAATGGACTCCAGAAGATGGCAGAGGACAGGAAGGCCTGGAGGAACGTTGTCCATGGGATTGCGATGGGTCGGACATGACTTCGCAACTAACCACAACAAGGCGTCAAACATATCTAATACTCTTTCCTCCTCTTTTTCTCACAACAACAACCCTGTGAAGCGTGTTGGGTTGAGACAGACTGATTGGCCCAAGGTCACCCAATTGGCTTTCATGCCTAAGGGAGAACTAGAACTCAGACCCTTGCTTTCTAGCCCGGTGCCTTAACCATTAGAGCAAGCTGGCTTAATGTGCAGTTTATATGAAGTAAAATTAGCTTTGCTAATATTGCAACATATTTTGGTTGGCAATCCTTCTACGCTTACCTATGAATACAGATATAAAATTTCCAGGAATTTGGAAGCCACAAAGAAAAATATTATTTGAGGGGAAAACTGGGTTTCAAATGGAAAATGGAATATACACAATTATTTTTTTAGCATCATTAATACATAATTACTATGCTGTCTAATTAGTAAATTTCTAATTCTTTGTCCCTTATTTTATCATTTGCCTGAAAAACCAAAGGTCTGCAACTATTGAGACAACTTTCCCTATTTTTTTAACATGTTCATTTGATCTGGAATGAATATTTTCAAATACAGGCCAATTTCTTTCAGCTTTGTTTGTTTTAAAAAGAAACTACCAGGAACTATTTGAACCATTTCCCCCCCCCCCCAGTTGTTCAGAAAAAGCGAAAAATAACAGAAAAAGGATTTTGACGCTATAAACCACCACCACCACCCCTCCCCCCTGTTAGGCCTTCACATTTCTAGCCAGGAGTGAGTTTCCCTGAGTTAAATGGCATTTCTGAGCAAAGATGATGTGAAAAAGGTTTTTAGAATAGAGAAAAAGAATTACCATGTAGAAACAATTATTACTCCTTCCCTCCCTTTCTATATTCAGATGTTCTGATTGTTATTCGGTTTTGAATCTCTGGCCTCCTGCAGTTTTTAGAATTAACACTGTCCTAGGAATGGCTGCCAAAGAAGACAGCTTGGATTTTCTTTATCCAGCAGATGATGTTGATGTCCCTTGCCATTTTTTTCTGGTCCTGATGGCAGATGCAAAAGGCATTGGGAAAGAATAGGTATTAGAGTGAAATGCTGCCAAGAAAACTGCTTGGATATGTCCATGTAACCATTAGGAGTCAACTTT